AGCTTGTAACCTTTTTCCAGAGTTCTTGAGGAAGGCAGAAGTGAGAAAGAAAAAAAACAAGAGCTACCATTGCATTTTTTGTAAGTTTTGAATTGCAAAGCTTTCTCCATCTCCACCTCTCCTGAAAGAAGTGGTGGTAGGTGCTCTAATAATGAGGAACACTGGAGAGTTTTGTAAGTCTCTGCTTGTACCTGTCACTGGCTGTTTTCTTCTCAGGAGGTGAGGAAATGGGATGGCACCCAACAAGTGGCATAAAACACAGCAGGAAAAGTGGAAGGTAAGTGTCTCATGTCATTGCCAAGCTATTTTTGACCCTAAGAGCAAATGTAAAACACAGTCCAAGAGGTAAGTCATCTAAACTTGCTAAACTGCAGCTCTTCTGACTACCAGCAGAGGAGGCACGCAGGGATATCTAAGCAAATGGGTTAATATCACTCTAATACAGTGACTCAACATGATTGAGCCCCTTAAGTATGACTGCTTTGACTAATGAGTACTTAACACTTAGTTATAGTATTCAAAGCACTTAATTAAAACACATAATTAAGACACATCACACAGGAAGGTCAGCACTACTTTGTACTTGTGAAAACTGGAGAAAGGAAATTACTTGAATAGGGCCACACAAGTGAGTCAATGACAGGTAGGGATGCAAAACCCAGGCTTTCTATCTAGGGCATGCTCTCGTGGATTGTAATGCATCTCAGTAAATATTAGCAGAGGATATGTTTTATATTTTTATGCATCTCCTCCAGTCATCAGGTATATCAATGCATACACAAAAAGTCTGTGGTGAATCATCTTCCTATGTTGGGACTTCACACTGTACTTCTCTCTCTCTCTCACTCACTCTGAGGAAGCCAGGTCTCTCATCAGTGTCTTTAGACATCTTCCATATCTAAAACTAGTTTTTCAAACAGATTTTAGAGAACAACTGAATTATGTCACCTAGATTATCATGTCCATTTTTTAGAGGCTTGGGATCACTTTTAAAATATGAATTTCGTACCTTAATAATGAAGAAAGAATGCCAATTTATGTCAGCTGAGGTAGTGGCCTAGGGGCTGTATTATTTCACTGGTTTTGCAGTGTGTAGTATTCAGCAAGAATGGACTGATCCATGGCATAAATATCCAGTAAAGAAACACCACATACTTGGACTATGAATAGCACGAACAGGCAGCAGCTATATCAAGAATTTGCTGCCAATAACCTTTATAATTTCAGGGAAATCCCAGATTCAGTTTAGGGTTTCCTTCTTTATCCATGGACTTTGGAAGTGTTACTACATTTAATGGCAGACAATACAAATACTATTTCATAGTTTTCTGAAGAGTTTTTTTTAAATCTAGTGCTCTTGATCTTTACCAGCTGTTGAGTCAAATTTGGCATAAGCCTGTTTCTTTGTGTATAGCCTGCAAACAATGTGGATTGTAAAATGAGTAGGGCACAAACCCAATTTCAATTGTGGGCTGGGATTCCCCTATGCTTTTACAGGGAAACTTGGTTGATAACTGTGTTTGCTATTGGGTGAGGCATGGAGACCAAGCCCATTGTATTTAACCTTTGAATACCACAATATCACGCGAGCTCTAAAGCCAAGCCACTAAAATAAGGAAGGAGAAATAAATCATAATACATAATAAAAGCTTAGTTGTTCCTTGGCCATCACTCAACTCACAATTGTATATTTTCATGCTGTTTAAATTTTCATTTAATACTTGCATAAACATCCAATGTTCTTTTGTTTTTTTCCTTTCCTGTATGGAACAGAAGTACAGTTTGTGGTATAGTAATGAAACCTGGATATTGCCTTATACAAGGCAATGCAAGGATGTCTTGCTGAATTCTCATGGTAAACTAAGAATGATTCATAAAGTTGTAATAAGATCCAAAATCTAAACAGTTTAATGTGAAGGGTTTTTAAGTCACATACCTCAAAACAGTTATGTCACTATTTCCCTCTTAAGTACAACCATGCTTTACTCTAATAAGGAGTACCTAAGGAGGTCAAAACTGCTTACAAATATTCAAGGGACACAGCCATCTTAAAATCTAGTTTTCTGGTTAAACTCAACAGTTTCAGTTATTAAACCTGCTCAAAACCTTCTGACAATACCCACAGTTTGAAAAATGCAGAAAAATGCAATTTAATTGCTTTTCATTCCCCTATTGCTTTATGAAAAACTACACAACCTCTGGGTTGACTCTGCAGAAGAGAAATCTGCTATACAAACTTATGGGAAAACTTCATAAAGAAAAAAACAATTTTCTGTAATACTCACTTGTAGCAATAGCAGCCACAGAAAACTTCTGATAATTTTAAAATTACAATATCTCATGATCACATTAAGCAAATTGCTAGAAAAAATGGCATTGATTCTCTACTTTGTGATCTGATATGCTGTAGCAGAAGGCAGCACACATATATTGCACATAGACAAAGACAAATTGTAACCCCTGGTTAGTGCCCCTATAAAGACCATTGAGTTTTAAAATATGGAGAAGAAAAACTGCTCCCTTTTAAAGTAACTCAGGTAGGAATGGGATTGAGGC